TTGTCATATCAACTCAATGGCTAACCAAATACGGATTTTTCACATTCATACTAGCAATGTGACGCGTCAAATAATCAATATGAAAAAAATTTGGACGCGTTTCCGCCATATTACTGTGACGACGAGAATCATATTGATCGCTGAAACCATTGAAATGACGCAACGACGGCAGCCGAAGGACTAGGGAATTATTTTCTTCTCATAACTAATAAAATACAAGTGTTTGCTTTGAAATTTTTAAATAAATAATAAAACAATTATTGAATTCGGTTTTCGCACAATATGAAGAATTATCAACCCCTCAGTTTGCCGTTATCAACATCAGCCTTCGCCTTGGGTTGATAACGGCAAACTTCGGTCTTGATAATTCTTCATATCGTGCTCAAACTCATTCAATAATTGTTAATTGATGAATGATGTGTCATTCGCAAGTTTTGGGTACCTCGCATGGCTCGCACTTTATGCAGACCCAAGATTATTCAAACTTTGAAACAATAACGATAAAAAATTGACAGTTTCAACACTGCATATAGTAAGCCATTTTGTACTTTGCGAAGAACTAATCTATAATTTACGAACTGCAGTTCCGCCTACTCCCCAGGTTTAGACCATTTTTTGATAGCAGATAGCCTGACTCAATGACAAATTTACTATACTCTATTACATTTTATTTTTGTGAACTGGCAGCCAATCTTCCAAAGGAGCTTATGAGTTATTTAATATTGTCTATGCTCACCGATTTTCCATTACCAAGTGATTATTTCTTCACCGTAAACCGCCACGAAAATTGAGATTTATCCGAAAACCATAAAATTGTTTAGGCTGACAGTTTTTAGACTGCGCATGTGCGAAATATTGTAGTTAATTAAACGCATACGAAAGAGTCGTTGGTTTATGAAATTTTGTAGCTAAAGGCTCTAGCATACTCTTTCGCATGCGCATAATTAAAGCAGATCGATATCGACATATCATATCGTGGGTTTACTTTGGAGGTTCATATATCTTTGGTTCAGTGCATGCTATGTGGATGAAAATATACCACCCTTCAATTCAGTGAAACAAATGCTATGGATGGTTTTAGTAAAATGACAACATGAACATTATAGCGATTTATGATCTTTAGAAGTCAAGCGATACCATATTTCACACAATTTTCCCGAACGATGTAAACAACGTCAATGTATTACCAAGGCATAAGTCGGCATAACATTTCGCCGAACAGAACTTCGGTCCCTTTCAATGTATCTTTTCCGTAATAGCCTTGTTCGAATCAAAATCCAAAACGCTATTCAGAGTGTTATTTTCAAGCTTGTATCTACAGATTTGCATCTTTTATTTCGGTATTCCAGAATATCTAAATTTTTAGTGAGGGCTTCAAACGGAAATACTAACTGATTGTCGAAACAATGCTGTCCTAGCACTCGGCAAACGTCGGAAACCGATTCGAGTCACATTACCCGTGTAGCGTGTCCGAAGTTATGTTCAACGAAAGGTACGGCCAGTTTATATTTTTATATATTGAGTAATTCGATAATATACAATCTCGCTTGCCTTTCAGAGGCAATAAATCGCTACAGTGTTGATAATGACTAAAACTATTGTAAGGAACTATTTGATTTTTCACTGAATCAAATGGGGGTATTATTGTGTTCATAGCATGCACTGAACTCAGGATATGGACATCCAAAGGTTGGCAGCTTTATAGCGACCTACGATGCTTGGGATTGAGCGAGAAAGAGTTTTACAATTTTATTTTAGCCGTTTAATTTAATAATTTTATCTTAGCCGCGAGTTAATTTGATATTCTCTGATTTGTTTTTATACTGAGGTTGCTGTATTAAGGCAGGGCATATTTTTCAAGCTCCGCCGGTGTGGATATGCACTCAGAGTAACATCGCAAACATATTCTCTTATTTGTTTTTAAAAGGTTGCTGTATTAAGGCTATGTTATACGGTATCTGGTTTAATACGACAAAGAACGAAGAATAAAAATTTATGGTTCAATGGTTGAATAATCAACCAAGATATTTCGTTCATTATATTGAACGAAATCAGCTATATGACGCAATAACAATTGTTAATCCTATAGGCTAACTACATGATGCAATGCGTACCTATTTTTTCAACTACTCTCATGCACAAGCCAGGAAAATACTTCCTACTTGACCTCAGTCCAGGAAATCCAATATCCTATCAGTTTAATTTTCTGCGGTTACTGACACTGGCAAAAAAATGACGTTCGAAATCTTTCCTGATGAAACCAGTCCTACAATAGTCAACCGTATCTTTGAAATGCGCTCCTATAATATCACATAATTATGCGTATATTCACTAGTCAGACATAGTGATATGAAGCAAACGCACTCAATTGTAACATCCAAGGAATGCGATCAGAAAGTGCACAGTTTTCCGCGTCGAAACATTGACAATTGACATCGGTAAAGTAGTTCTACAAACACTTTGCATGGTAAAAACACGTGTTGAAACCATTGAAAGAAAGCCATGATAAGGTTATATTAAGCGGAGGATGAAATCTTCTAAGACTCGACTGAGAACTCAAAGGAACTGCTTAGCGATAACTTAACACTTCTGTTGCTGTTAATTATCGGATTTGGTTGTCTTAAGCGTGATGTTAGTTTTGATTTAGATTGCGGTGCTGCTCGATTGAATTTCCATTGCGTCGATATGTACTGTATGCGCGTTTGGTTTCAATTCGTCAATATAGATACCATAGAAGAGGCAAATGATAACATATAAAGACGAGTTTTTGTACCAAAATTGTGTTCATATTTCAAAAAAATAAATTTGAAGAAATTACCGAATCTAGGTTAGTTTCTACACTAAACAATTGATAGATTATCCGCTCTCGATTTCTATGAGTCGACTATCGCTTCATATAAAATTAATCTCGAGCTTCGCATAATCCAATTTTTATATAATCAATAAGTTTATTGTTGTAGCTAGTTAGTTTCCACATCGCACAGCATATAATTCACGCGTCGAACGTACTAAAATATTTCATTTTTTTCCGCTTACAACAAACTAAGTTGCGCTAGTAGAGAAGAAAGACTCACAAATAACTGACGATAAAACGATATGTTTTTACAGAGCAATTCGTATATTCGAAGTACAAAGCAGTCACATGAGTGACTAGGGATAAACCGGAAGTTCCGGTGTTTATTATAATGTCAATATAATTACTGCTGTTAAATAAGCAACGTCAATATGCCATATATGGCGTTGAGGTAAACAGCGAAGAGAGAGAGATCGTTTATTTACGAAATAGAACACGAGTCCGAGTGCTTTTTGCTGTGATAAAGTACGAGAGAGATGTTGGGAAAACACAAGAGAACCGTGTAAAAGACGAGTCGTAGTCGAACACAATAGCTGTGTTTGATTTGTCTGTTTGAAGTATATAAAATAAGCTATTGTCAACAACTTGGGCCATTAAGCGTAAAATTGCCTCATTATAGCTTCCTGTTAATGCTTTCAATACGTGTTTGTAATTACCATACAGAGGGCTTGATTGTAATTACCATACAGAGGGTTTGAGTGTTTGTAATATATTATCATACAAGTTGTTTCAAGAATTATAAAGAAGACAAAGAGCGTGATATACGTACGTCAATGCTCAATCGAGAAATGTTTTTTATTTTTCAGGTTTGTCGAATAATTTGTCGGCAAGCGTCGTTGATAAAGTGCACGATCGTATAAATTTGGACGAGACGAGTTCAAGTTTCATTACTTGTTGAAGATCTCTCAAGAACGGTTGGAACAGTGAAATCCAGAATTACAGTTATCAAGGTATATATCAATTAATATACTGCTTCATTTTCGTCTTAGTTCGATGATATTGTATATTATTATATGTTAGTGATGTTACTCTGAGTGTACATCCACACCGTGGAAGCTGAAAAGTTAGTTGGCCACACATCATATTCACATGAGTACATAACACCAATATACATATTATTGTTTAATTCCAGAAAGTGAAGTGTAAATATATTCATTCTACCACTTTTGTGGAAACTACGCAATGTTTCCCGTCATGTTAAATTTTGGGTAAATTACATCTTGGGGATGATAATTGTTTTGTTTAAAACTCCAGCTTTCCCAATTCAGACAATTGTCTTTCAGACAATTCTTAACTTTTTGTAATACTGGATCGTTATGGGTTGCTTTTTTAATCTCGTTGAGTGTCATTGACTTTGGAACTGAACAGTTAGTTACATAATTCACATATTATTCTGCTGGTGTACTAGTTATTTGTTCTCTCTCAATAACAGCTGGATGTCTACTTAAGTAGTCAGCGTCGTTTAAGGATCCTTTGCAGTAAATGACTTTGAAGTTGCATGGTTGTAATCGCATTTATCCATCTCTCAATGCGGGCTGGTGGTCTTGATCTTAGGTTATTTAATATAGATTCTAATGCTTTATGATCAGTTATCATATCGAATTCTGATCCACTCAAGAACATTCGAAAATGCTCAATTCCCCATACTAAGCTAAGTCCTTCAATATCTGTTTGAGCTTATCTTGTCTCACCTGGGCTGAGTGCTCTGCTTGCATATGAAAGGATTTTGTACTGCTGGCTGTGATGTTCTTTCTGTGCTAGTATTGCACTAATTCCATAAGGGGAGCCATCTACGATTACTAGACTTCGTTTCTTTGTATCGAAATATGCCATAACTGGGATACTTGTTAGTTTCTTTTTCAGTTGCTCAAATGCTTTCTGATGTCTATTTTCCCACTTAAACGCAATGTTTTTCTTGGTTAATTAGTTCTCTTAGAGGTGCTGCAATAGTTGCATAATCTGGAATGTATTCGTGGCAAGTCTTGGCTATTCCCAGAAAACTTCTAACTTCTCCAGCAGTTTTGGGAGCTGGTACTCTAACCATGTTCTCAATTCTCTCTGGATCTGGTTTGGTTCCTGCTGCTGTAAATTTTAATCCGAAGAACATAATTTCGTCTTGTAGAATTTCACATTTTTCCCCTTTCACTTTCAAGTTTTAGTGCTTCTAGCCGTTTTAGACAGTTCTCTAGTGCTTCATCGTGTGACTTTCGGGTTTTACCATGAATAATAATATCATCTACCAGGTTTTTCACTCCTCTGATATCGCTAAGGTTTTGTTGTAGCACATTTTGGAATATCTCGGCTGCACTGTTCGTACCGTAATTTAATCTTTTATACTGGAACAGTCCTTCATGGGTAGACAACGTTGTAATGAATCGACTGTCCGGAGTAATTCGAGCTGGTGATATGCTTGCTTTAGGTCAATCTTTGAGAAGAATTTTGCTCCATTTACCTCAGCTTAAAAATCTTGTAAAGTTGGCATTATGTGTCTCTCTCTTTCGATTACCTGGTTTGCTTCCCTCATGTCTACACATAGTCTAATACCTCCGTCTTTCTTTGGCGTGACGACTATTGGAGATATCGGATCCATGGTGTTGGTTGATTGGCAACTTTCTCGACAATGTCTTGCTCTTCTAGTTTCTTTAGTTCCTTAGAAACATCCTTTCTGACATGATATGGTATACGTCTTTGCCGCTGCATAACTGGTTTGACATCGTCTCGAATATGAAGTTTAATTTGTTGATTGTTTAATTTTCCTTGCCCCTTGAAAACTGTACTATATTTGTTTTAGATTTCTTGTATTTTT